TACAAATATTAAAAGAATTCTTGAAATTTTTATTTATCTTTATTTTTCAGATAAATTCTACTGAAATTTTGGAGTATTCATCAGATAGTGGAAAAGAAGATGATACAGAAAATATCTTATTTATTGATTCAGAATCTCCTCACAAATGCAATATAAATTTTGCATCCAATTCAAAGCAAGTTTTAGAGAACCCAGAACCCTGGATGAAATCTACAGAGACCATTTTGTGTACACCCCCAAAAAAGATCAATAAGTTTCCTAGGCCTCCAGAAGATTCTGCTAAGAAGAAGAAGCCTATAAGGTTTAATTATGTTTTTTTATTTTTTTCCATTTTCATGCAGTTTTTTTCTTTTCTTTAAAACCTAGCGTAATACTGCGAATATAAAAAAGTGAGGAAAAATATACTCATAGAGTATAGGAATCTAGGAAGGTTAACAGGGAAGAGAAGAAGGGAGGAGAGGGGAGCAAAATTTAATAAATAGCTATTATGCTATACAAAAGTCTTATTAGAAATTGTGATTGATTAATTAGTAATTGAAATTAACAATAAAATGCCTGTGAATGAATAACCAATATGATTTGTGAAATAAATTTTTGAAAATTTATAGTCTAGGAAACGCTTCAGGATAGTTGTATTCTCTCTTATAGAGAGAGTCACTATGAGTCAGAATTTACTTTAGGGGACACAACTTATGTGAGAGAAATTTCTCTACTTGTCATGAGTTAGTTAGAAATTAATCCTAACTTGCTTTAAAGATTTACTTGGAAGAGGTTTAAAAAAAATTGTAAGAGGTATCCTGTGAAAAAGAATATTCTGGCCTGAAATGGAAAAGAATATCCAGTAACTAAATTGTTATTATTAAATTACTTGTTTGGAAAAAAAAAATGACAGCATATAATTCTGAGTTCAGTAAGCATTTAACAAAAGCTTAGCTTCTTAAAATGATTTATAGAATTTTTTTTATTCGAATTCAGTGTTCACTCTTTAACTTAGAATAAGCATGTTGTTATTGTTATGTGCCGTCGAGTCATTTGTGACTCATAGCAACCCTATGTACAACAGCCCTAAAGCCTGCTCTATCCTGTGCCAGTTGCATTGCCTCTGACACACCCATCCTGATTACCCCAGTCACTGAATCAATCCACCTCACAGAGGGTCTTCCCCTCCTGCGCTGTCCCGCCACCCTACCAAGCATGATGTTCCTCTCCAAGGACTTGTCTCTCCTTACAACATGTCCAAAGTATGTCAGACGAAGCCCCAGAATCCTTGCCTCCAAGGGGTAGCCTGGTTTAACCCTCTCCAGGATGAATCTGTTTGTTTTCTTGGCAGTCCATGGTACATTCAATACTCTTCTCCAGCACCACAGCTCAAAGGCATCAATTCTCCTTCTATCCTCCCTAGTCATTGTCCAACTCTCTGATGCATAAAAAGTGATTGCGAAGACCATGGCCTGTATCAGGCGCATCTTAGTCTCCAGAGAGACACCGTTGCTCTTGAGTACTTTAGAGAGGTCCCTAACAGCAGACTTTCCCATCGCAATACGTTTTTTGATTTCCTGGCTACTGGTGCCAAGAGTGTTGACCGTAGAGCCAAGCAAACTGAAGCTGTGAACAATCTCAATCTCTTCGCCATCCATCCTGATGCTATCAATTGGTCCAGTGGTGAGAATCTTTGTCTTCTTGACATTGAGTCTCAGTCCATATTGAAGGCTGCAGTCCTTGACCCTCTGCAGCAAGTGCGTGAGATCCTCCTCAGTTTCAGCAAGCAGGGTTGTGTCATCTGCATAACGCAGATTGTTAATAGATCTTCCACCAATCCTGACGCCACACTTCTCCTCATAGAGCCCAGCCTCTTGGATAATCTGTGCATACAGATTGAAAAGGTATAGAGATAGGACACATCCCTGGTGCACACCCTTCCCAATACATGACAATTTTTCTTAATGGGAATTTGTTTGGTTTATTAATCTCTTTTGAATATTAGTGTTCCAGGTGATGAGTTAAATAATAGAAACAAATCATGGTTCTTTTTCTGTAATCATTTAAAGGAGAAAATAGAAATCAATATAGACCAATGCAATTGACTGTGAAGACAAATGATAGAAATGCAAAAAAGTCAAGAGCAGAGTGATATGCACAAGACTCAGATTGATGTGTATATGGAGAAGTAGAGGGACATCCATGTTTGTAGAATGTCAGGTTTGAGGAAAGATTACAAAGCTGGAGTATAGGAATTGGATCCTGCAGAGGAAAGTAGCACTTGAAAATTTAATTTAACATGTTGCCTCACACTTTTAAATTGACGACCATGCTTAGAAACACATTTTGCTGTCATTTGTGGTAACGTGTTAAGCACTTTTAATTTATTATATAAGAAAAAGATATCCTGCTCATGTGTAATACAAGAACTCTTTGCTTTTAAATCAAAACAGTAAAAAATATAATGAAATATGTAAAGAACTTAAGTTAGAAAGTCAAAAGAAAAGAACACTTTTGGGATTTTTAAAGCTGAAAGAACTGAAAAACAAATTGAAACCTCAAGTTGTAATGCTGTAATATGTCTTTGAGAAAAATCTTGAATGAAGCGGGAAGCATCAGAAGATGGAAAGGGAAAAACAGTGCTTACAAAATTTATAAGTAAACTATTATAAAATAAAAATTTTATTTCAAAAGAAAAAAAGATGGAAAGAGTACACAGAGTCACTGTACCAGAACGAATTGGTGAGCAATAAAACATTTCAGGAAGTAGCATATAATGAAGAACTAAAGGTAATGATGGAAGAAGTTCAAGCTACATTGAAAGTCTTGGCCAGAATTAAAGCCCTAGGAATTGATGGAATAACAGTTGAAATGTCTTAATAAACAGATGCATCCTGGACATGGTCACTAGTCTGTGCTAAGAAATTTGCCTAGAAAATACCCATATTTGTTACTATCCCCTTAGAAAAGTAATCCAACAGATCATGGGAATTATCAGTCAATATCATTAATGTTACATGCAATTAAAATCTTTCTGAAAGTTATTTAAAAATCATTAAAGCAGCACACTGACAGGGAACAGTCAGAAATACAAACTGGATTTAGAAGAGGTTGTGACAGGAAGAATATCGTTGTTAATGCTGATGTGAGATAGATCCTGGCTTAAAACAGGAAACACAAGAAAAATGTTTAAGTGTATTTTGTTGACTGCAAAAGCATTTTACTTTGTGGATCATAAATTATGGATAACATTTATAAGAATAGGAGTTCTAGAACTTAATTGTGCTCATGCAAACCTACAGAGACCAAGAACCTGTTGTCTGAACGGAGGGGGGCGGGGAACAGCATGGTTTAAAATTATGAGGTTTGTGTCTAGGTAGTGTCCTTTCTTAATACCTTTTCAGTATGTGTGCTGAACGAAGCCGTACTGAACAGTAGTTCGTTTGAACTAAATGAAGAAGAATGTGGCATCAGGAATGGGGACTCATCCACAACCTGCATAGGGCAGATTATTACTTGCAGAAAATTAACAAGAGTTAAAACAAAACTTGCTGCAGAAGATTAGAGACCACAACCTTCAACATGGATTATATCTCAAGACTAGGTAAACAAAACTCACCACTGGACCAATAGGTAATTATCTTGATAGGTGCAGAAAAGATTCAAGCTGTCAAAGATTTCATTTTACTTGGATCTACAATTAACAGTCATGGTAGTAGCATTAAGAAGTCAAGTGATGTGGATCTCTGTTCTTTGATCAACAGAAAGCCCTCTTTCCTTGTGCAGCCTCAACCATATCCCTGAAGGATGATGGTGAAGGCTGCACTGGACTCCTGGTCAACAGGGCTGCTTTTAACTCTGGCAAAATGGATGGTTTTGCCATCAGTAACCCTTTCATTGACCAGCTTCTTGGACTTTATGTTTCAGTATGATTCCACTCATGGCAAGTTCAGTGACACTGTCAAGACTGTGAATGGGAAGCTTGTCATCAATGAGAAAGCTATCACAATCTTCCAGGAGTGAGATCCTGCCATCATCAAGTGGGGTGTTACTGTTGTTGAGTGTGCTGTGGAGTACACAGGTGTCTTCACAACCTTGGAGAAAGCTGAGATTTACCTGCAGGATGGTACCAAGTGAATAATCATCTCTGCTTCTTCTGCTAATGCCCCCATGTCTCTGATGGCTGTGAACCATAAGAAGTATGACAGCTCTCTCAAGATTGTCACCTGTGTCTCCTGCATCTCCAACTTCTTGCTTGGACCCGTTGGCCAAGGTCATCCATGACAACTTTGGCATCATAGAAGGACTCATGACCACAGTTCATGCCTTCACTGCCTCTCAGAAGACTTTAGATGGCCTCCTCTATAGAGCTGTGGTGTGATGGCCAAGGAGCTGCCCAGAGCATCATGCCTGTGTCTGCTGTACTGCCAAGGCCATGGGCCAGATCATCGCTGAGCTGAATTGGAAACTTACTGGCATGGCTTTCCATGTCCCCACCTCCCTTGTGTCAGTCAAGAATCTGACCTGCCATCTGGAGAAAGCTGACAAATATAATGACATCAAAAAAGTAGGAAAGCAGACATTAAAAGGACCCCTAAAGGGCATCCTGAGATACACTGAAGACCAGATTGTCCTCTGTGACTTTAACAGTGACACCAGCTTTTCCACCTTTGATGCTGAGATTGGCATTGCACTGAACAACCACTTTGTCAAACTCATTTCCTGATACGACAGTGAATTTGGCTACAGCAACAGGGTGGTTAACCTGATGGTTCACATGACCTTCAAAAATAAGAGCCCCTTGGACCACCAGTCCCAACAATAACACTAGAAGAAAGAGACCCTCAGGTGCTGAGGAGTCCTTGCCCCAGCCCAATCCCCACATAGAGAATCTCACATCCATGATTCAGTTTCTATCCAGTCCCACAGAGAAAGGGGGGGGGGCTGAGAGGGTCCTTCTTGTCATGTACCTTCAATAAAGTATGTTGTTGTTGTTGTTGTTATGTGCTGTTGAGTCAACTGTGACTCATAGCAACCCTGTGTACAGCAGCTCTGAAGCCTGCTCTATCCTGAGCCAGTCTTGCTGACTCTGACACACTGCCCCATTGTCTCAGTTACTGAGTCAATCCATCTCATCCAGGATCTTCCTCTCCTGCACTATCCCTCCACCCTTCTGAGCATGACGTTCTTCTCTAAGGATCAGTCCCTTCTGGCCATGTTCCCAGAGTATGTGCCACAGAGCTTCAAAATAGTAGCCTCCAAGGAAAAACTTGGTTTTACCCTATCCAAGACAGACCTGTTTGTTTTCTTGGAAGTCCATGG